ACGGGAAGGGGGGGAGTGTCCAGACTGGAATGGGGGTGAAAGTGTCCAGACGGGAAGGGGGTGAAAGTGTCCGGACTGGAAGGGGGGGAAAGTGTCCGGACTGGAAGGGGGGGGAAAGTGTCCGGACTGGAAGGGGGTGAAAGTGTCCGGACTGGAAGGGGGGAAAGTGTCCGGACTGGAAGGGGGGGAAAGTGTCTGGACTGGAAGGGGGGGAAAGTGTCCGGACAGGAAGGGGGTGCAGTGTCTGGACTGGAAGGGGGGGAAATGTCCGGACTGGAAGGGGGTGAAAGTGCCCCGACTGGAAGGGGGGGAAGTGTCCGGACTGGAAGGGGGCGAAAGTGTCCGGACTGGAAGGAGGGGGGAAGTGTCCAGACTGGAAGGGGGGGAAAGTGTCCGGACTGGAAGGGGGGAAAGTGTCTGGACTGGAAGGGGGGGAAAGTGTCCGGACTGGAAGGGGGGGAAAGTGTCTGGACTGGAAGGGGGGAAAGTGTCTGGACTGGAAGGGGGTGAAAGTGTCCAGACTGGAAGGGGGTGAAAGTGTCCGGACTGGAAGGAGGTGAAAGTATTCGGACTGGAAGGTGGTGAAAGTGTCCGGACTGGAAGGGGGTGAAAGTGTCCAGACTGGAAGGGGGGTGAAAGTGTCTGGACTGGAAGGGGGGGGGAAAGTGTCCAGACTGAAAGGGGGATGAAAGTGTCCGGACTGGAAGGGGGGGGGGGGAAGTGTCCGGACTGGAAGAGGGTGAAAGTGTCCGGACTGGAAGGTGGTGAAAGTGTCCGGACTGGAAGGTGGTGAAAGTGTCCGGACTGGAAGGGGGGGAGAAAGTGTCCAGACTGGAAGGTGGTGAAAGTGTCCGGACTGGAAGGGGGTGAAAGTGTCCGGACTGGAAGGGGGAAAAGTGTCCGGACTGGAAGAGGGTGAAAGTGTCCGGACAGGAAGAGGGAAAAGTGTCCGGACTGGAAGGGGGTGAAAGTGTCCAGACGGGAAGGGGGGGAGTGTCCGGACTGGAATGGGGGTGTGAAAGTGTCCAGACGGGAAGGGGGGGGAGTGTCCTGACTGGAATGGGGGTGAAAGTGTCCAGACGGGAAGGGGGTGAAAGTCTCCGACTGGAAGGGGGGGAAAGTGTCCGGACTGGAAGGGGGGGGTGAAATTGTCCGGACCGGAAGGGGGTGAAAGTGTCCGGACTGGAAGGGAGGAAAGTGTCCGGACTGGAAGGGGGGAAAAGTGTTCGGACTGGAAGGGGGGGAAGTGTCCGGACAGGAAGGGGGGGAAAGTGTCCGGACTGGAAGGGGGGGAAAGTGTCTGGACTGGAAGGGGGGGAAGTGTCCGGACTGGAAGGGGGGAAGTGTCCGGACTGGAAGGGGGGGAAAGTGTCCGCACTGGAAGGGGGGAAAGTGTCCGCACTGGAAGGGGGGGAAAAGTGTCCGGACTGGAAGGGGGGGAAAGTGTCCGGACTGGAAGGGGGGGAAAGTGTCCGGACTGGAAGGGGGGGAAAGTGTCCGGACTGGAAGGGGGGGAAAGTGTCCGGACTGGAAGGGGGGGAAGTGTCCGGACTGGAAGGGGGGGAAGTGTCCGGACTGGAAGGGAGGGAAAGTGTCCGGACAGGAAGGGGGCGAAGTGTCCGGACTGGAAGGGGGTGAAAGTGTCTGGACTGGAAGGGGGGGAAAGTGTCTGGACTGGAAGGGGGGGAAAGTGTCCGGACTGGAAGGGGGCGAAGTGTCCGGACTGGAAGGGGGGAAAGTGTCTGGACTGGAAGGGGGGGAAAGTGTCTGGACTGGAAGGGGGGGAAAGTGTCCGGACTGGAAGGGGGGGAAAGTGTCCGGACTGGAAGGGGGGGAAAGTGTCTGGACTGGAAGGGGTTAATATATGAAAGTGGACTTATATCATTTCAATTAATTTATGCACATTTTTTATGTAGCAGTATGTATTTGATTTATAATTGTTTATGATTTGTTAGTGTAGAGCGCACTCATTTTTTTTATATGTTTTGCATTTTCTGGTGTTCAGGGAAGAGTAGCAGCAGTTCACTAATTGTGTCACTTTTGTTTCAAAATATTTTTTTTTTTCACACATTTCTTCACATATTGTATTGTCTGGGGTGTAGCGCAGGTTATTTCCTTTTTTTTCAATAAAAAAAAAAGAAACACATCTTGGTAATGTAGCGCTGCCTCCGAAGGAGCCGCTTGGTAATTTGGATTCTCAGCTTCAAGAATACCATCAGCCCCTCTGATACACTTGGCTGAATGAAAGTCACTGGAGGCACTTTGTCAGGGAACATGAAGCAGGCAGAAAAGTGCAGTTAAAATCACTCCTTTAATGAAATAGCACATATAACAGATCAGGAATGTAGTCATAACAGAAGCCACGGGTTGGATGCCAGAGCGGGTTATCAGATGAGCCAGAGTCAGGAAATCAGAAGTCAGCCTAGTCAGGAGCCAAAAATCAGGAACAGGAATTGGAATAGAAGTCAGCCAGAACGAGTTGCACACAGGAACACACTGGAGGTCATAGACCAGGCAATGGCAAGGAGGAAATGAGCTAAGCTGCTAAAACAGCAAAAAGGGGCGGGACTAATGAGGCAGGTAATGGCATCCAGGTGAGTCAATGAGGAGACAACGAGTGGTTGGTAACAGGGTGGACTGACAACTCATGGGGCCCCCGGGCAATAGGGGATCATGGGGCCCCTGTGTCCTTGCCTACACTCAAAGCACACCCAAAAAAGCCTATAAAAAAAAGGTACCAGGGGCATTTCATGGGGCCCCCTACTGACCTCGGGCAGTGCTCGAATGGTCAGTCCGCCCCTGGTTGGTAATAAACCGACATCTGAGCAGCTTCTGAGCACTGAAAGAAAAGAGCTGCTCATTAAGTAGCAGGAGTCCAGCCCTGACACACCTGTAGGGGCAGCAATATAGATACCTTTAACCAGCACTTATTTCTCAAAAAGTAGGTCCAGGAACTCCACCTTTCAGAGTCTCTTTTTACTAGGAGCCCCCTACCCAACTCCGAGTACCATCACTTGGTTCCACCCCCTCAACCATCTCCCAGTATCTCCCCTTTTAGAGAACACACAGCCAAGTATCATTTTGTGGTGCTAATTCATTTGTATGGGAAAAGCAGAAAAATAGATCCCCAGCAGCCAGAAGTAGTAGACCCCCCCAGCAACAATAGATTCCAGCAGCAACAATGGACCCCAAAACAAAATACCAGCCCAGCAACAATAGACCCCCAGAAGCTACAACAGATCTCCAAGCAGCCAGCATCAATATGCTCTCCAGCAGGCAGAAACAGGCCCCCAGCAGCTACAACAGATCTCCAAGCAGCCAGCATCAATATGCTCTCCAGCAGGCAGCAACATACCCCCAGCAGCTGATACAGATCTCCCAGCAGCCGGGACCTCAACAGTGGACCTCTTCTGGAACAATTGACACCCATCAACAATAGATCTCCCACCAGCAACAATAGACCTCTCCTGCAAGAATAGACCACCACACAAAAACAGATCCCTTTCAGTGACAATAGATCCCCCAGCAGCCTGCAACAATAGATCCCCCAGCCCCCCCTTGCTAGCAGCTGTACCGAGTCTTTAGTGGTAACGCTTCAGCCGGCTAGCATTGGGACCCAGTTGTACCGTTGGTGCACGTGAGAATAGTCCCAGTCAAGCCTGCAGGCAGCAACAATGCTACTGGATGGCTGTGTGGTCAGTTCCTAAAGGGCTCAGTCTCTTTCTAGCAGCAGCAGCTTTCCAGTCCCAGCAAAATTGCAGCTCACCATCCGGTCACATACAGCGATTGCTCTCCACCCAGGGGACTCTGGCTGTTGGCCCACCTGGACTCAGCGCTGCGGATCAGGCCGCCGATATGCAGCAGAAATGGTTCACACAGGACAGCGATGTGAACTCTCCGGTCTCCCTCACCGCAAGAGGAAGGTGTGTCCTCTACAGCCTGAGATAATGGAGCTCATTCTGGCAGTCCCCCTCTGGGAAATGCAGCTCAAAAGCTCTTCATTACACTTTTTCTACTCCGGACTACAGTTCCCACAGTGCAGCGCTGCCATTGGACTCTTCCTGCTCAGCAGCTCCCTCCTCTGGCTGATATAGCTGTTACCAGTTCAGCACCTCAGGGCAGCAGATACAGATACAGAGCTGCAGCCAGCGTTTCTCTCATTCTTAGCCAATCACCTGACTACACTAATTATTAATATATTTAAAAACCAATTCCTTCCACAAGTTACCAGTTCAGAGTGAGGAATTCGGTAAAGACCCCTTCTGTTACACGGAAAGGTTTCTTCACAGTAAGAGCTGTGAGAATGTGGAATAGACTCCCTCCAGAGTTGGTTGTGGCCAGCTCAGTGGATTGCTGTAGGAAAGTCCTGGATTCTTTCTTGGATACACAGAATATAACTGGATATAACATTTATAGGGAACGTTGATCCAGGGAATATCCGATTGCCTCTCGGGGGATCAGGAAGGAATGTTTCCCCTGCAGGAGGAGATTGGATCGTGCTTTGCTGGTTTTTTTTTTTCTTCCTCTGGATCAACTCTGGGTGTAGGATTAGAACTTTTATTTTTAATGGTTGAACTGGATGGACTTTTGTCTTTTTTCAGCCAGACTAACTATGTAACTATGTAACTGTTGGTAGAAATGTTGTCTCCCTTCAGTGTGCCACGTTCTGCTCGTCAGTAATGTTGACTTATGGTTAGGCAATGCAGAGATCTTTGATGGTTTGTTATCGTATTGTAACCAATAATAATTCACTGTCTGCGTAATACGGTCAGAACAATGAAACATGACTACTGATTGGTCGGTGGGGGTTACGGCCCCCCGGCACATTGTGTTCCCCTTCCCTGCAATATACATCTAGCTTCTGGCGTGGCTACTACTCAGCTGTGCTATCACAGAGCACTGCAATGTGAGGACTCGAAGCACCCCTCGTCTGACGGGAATTTGTACATTTTTCACACACAGGTTAATCCCAAAAGGATTTAAACTTTATTGCCAGAAGTATTGTCCCCGCCCTCCCAATCATGTGATTCAGGTGTTCCAATCCCCTCCCAATCATGTGATTCAGGTGTTCCAATCCCCTCCCAATCATGTGATTCAGGTGTTCCAATCCCCTCCCAATCATGTGATTCAGGTGTTCCAATCCCCTCCCAATCATGTGATTCAGGTGTTCCAATCCCCTCCCATATCATGTGATTCAGATGTTCCAATCCCCTCCCATATCATGTGATTCAGGTGTTCCAATCCCCTCCATATCATGTGATTCAGGTGTTCCAATCCCCTCCCAATCATGTGATTCAGGTGCTTCGAATCCCCTCCCAATCATGTGATTCAGGTGTTCCAATCCCCTCCATATCATGCGATTCAGGTGTTCCAATCCCCTCCATATCATGCGATTCAGGTGTTTCAATCCCCTCCATATCATATGATTCAGGTGTTTCCAAACCCCTCCATATCATGTGATTCAGGTGTTCCAATCCCCTCCATATCATGTGATTCAGGTGTTCTAATCCCCTCCATATCATGTGATTCAGGTGTTCCAATCCCCTCCATATCATGTGATTCAGGTGTTCCAATCCCCTCCATATCATGTGCTTCAGGTGTTCCAATCCCTACGGACCAGACATGGGATTCATTGTTATAGCTGCAAAGGGCGGGGCCAACTCAATATTGAACCCTACGGACTAAGACTGGGAGGTCATTAAAGGTCATGTGCGTGGAAAGGGCGGGGCCAACTCAATATTGAACCCTACAGGGCTAAGACTGGGGGGCCATTAAAGTTCATGTGTGTGGAAAGGGCGGGGCCAACTCAATATTGAACCCTACGGACTAAGACTGGGGGCATTAAAGGTCATGTGCGTGGAAAGGGCGGGGCCAACTCAATATTGAACCCTACGGGCTAAGACTGGGAGGTCATTAAAGGTCATGTGTGTGGAAAGGGTGGGGCCAACTCAATATTGAACCCTACGGGCTAAGACTGGGGGGCCAATAAAGTTCATGTGTGTGGAAAGGGCAGGGCCAACTCAATACTGAACCCCACGGGCTAAGACTGGGAGGCCATTAAAGGTCATGTGTGTGGAAAGGCCGGCAGCCCAATACTGGGGGCAATATAGTGTATTTTCTGAAAGCAGTGACCCTGGAGAATAAAATGGCAGTAGTTTCATATTTTTATGTCACATACTATTTGTGCCGTCATTTATCAAACTCATATTGTCGGGGAAAAAAAAATACACTAAAGTGAATATTAGCGCACACAAACACAAGAGTGTACATATTTTTTTGGTAAAATATAAAATATTGGCTGCGTAAAGTAAATAGATATCCAACATGTCAAGACGTAAAATTGTGAAATTGCAAAAAAAACAGAATCCAACATTCTCTGTAGGCAATGAAAGCTTTAAAGGCTTTTACAGATCATCAGTTCAGAGTTCATTGTGAAGGACGGCCCTCGAATTTCTGCTCTCCCTCCCAGAATGATACCTCACATACCTGGAGCTCTCCTACCACTTGTGTCTGTGGGGCCCATATTGGCTTTATACCCGGCATATGCTACAGGTAAGTAAGAAACAGCAGGAACTGACCAGAGAGGGATTAGATATAATTATTATAATTAGTATACTCGCTATCATAATGATAATAATAATAATATTGATGTACATAATATAAGTAAATACATAAAATTAAAATTAGTTGAATAATAATAATCATCATCATCATCAAAAATATATATATATATACAGTTGTGCTCAAAGGTTTGCATCCCCTGGCAGAAGTTGTGAAATTTTGGCATTGATATTGAAAATATGACTGATCCTGCCACAAAATGCTCTTTTATTGAAGGATGAGATCCCCGAACTTTCCACTTCTTAATAGGTGATGTAACAGTACTAATTGGCATATTCAAGGCTTTGGACATCTTTTTATGTCCTTTTCCATCTTTATAAAGTTCCATTACCTTGTTACGCAGGACTTTTGACAGTTCTTTTCTGCTCCCCATGGCTCAGTATCTAGCCTAGTCAGTGCTTCCACATGAGAGCCAACAAACTCACTGACTATTTATACACTGACACTGATTGTGATGTAAAAAGCCACAGATGTGGAACATTAACCTCTAATTGGCATTGTACCCCGTGTGTGTCCCCTTGTGTGTCTGTACCAAGGCCAAACATTCCAGGGGGCGGAGACTTCTTATCTGGGGCGGAGACTTCTGATCCGGGGCGGAGACTTTTGATCCGGAGGTGGGAGACTTCTGATCCGGAGGTGGAGACTTCTGATTCGGGGGGCTGGAGACTTCTGATCCGGGGGCGGAGACTTCTGATCCAGGGGGAGACTTCTGATCTGGAGGTGGAGACTTCTGATCCTGGGGGCTGGAGACTTCTGATCCGGGGGCGGAGACTTCTGATCCGGGGGGCGGAGACTTCTGATCCGGGGGGGCTGGAGACTTCTGATCCGGGGGCGGAGACTTCTGATCTGGAGGTGGAGACTTCTGATCCGGGGGGCTGGAGACTTCTGATCCGGGGGGAGACTTCTGATCCGGGGGCGCGGAGACTTCTGATCCGGGGGGCTGGAGACTTCTGATCCGGGGGCGGAGACATCTGATCCAGGCCATTTGGGTGATTTCTGTTATCATTATGATTTAAAAAGGAGCCGAGCAACTACGTGATAATAAATGGCGTCATATGATCATCATCCTTCAATAAAAGAGCATTTTTTGGCAGATCCGTCAGATTTTCAATATCAATACCAAAATGTCACAATTTCTGCCGGGGGAGGGAAACGTTTGAGCACAACTGTATATATATATATATATATATATATTATATATATATATATATTAATATTATAATTATAATTTTTATCACAATTACAAACAATATAATAATAATAATTATTATTATCATTAATAATCTTTTATAATGAGTATAATAACAACAATAATAATAATTCATAGTATAAATGTACATAATAATATCAAATATTATCAAATACAGAATATTAAATAAAGAAATTACAACAATACAACAATATAATTAAATAACAATAATAATATTATTATAATAGGAATACTCTTTTATAATAATAATATATATTGATGTGCATAATATTGTTAAATACATACAATTGAAACTATATTGTGTAATAATAATTATAACAATTAACAATGTTGTATAATATGTATAATATTATTATAAATATAATAATTATTATTTTATTATTAATAATAATAATAATAATAATAATAATAATAATAATAATATACACAAATACATAAAATTAAATTGAATAATAATCATCGTCATCAAATATATATACATATATAGATATATATATATCTATATATATAAAAATGTAGTATTATATTTATAAACTTTTAGCACGATTACAATAAATATAATAATAATAATAATTCATAATATATATGTACATAATATTATCAAATACAGAAAAAAATTACAATTATATAATTGAATAATAATAATAATAATAACAACAATAATAATTGATATTAATGTGCATAATATTGTTAAATACATACAATTTAAATTATATTGTGGAATAATAATAATAATATTAATAATAATAATAGGTATAACCTTAAATACCTAAAATTGAAATGATATAATTAAAATACAGTAACAAACAATAAATAACAATGCTGTATAGTATTATTATAATAACCATAATATTTTTTAATGATTTTGATAATAGTAATAATAATAATAATAATAATAATAATAATAATAATAATAATAAAAAAATGCATATAATATTATTTAAACAAATTCAATTAAAATATTTATTATTGAATTTCATGTTTTGCGTTTTTGAATGTAACTGATATGTGTAATGTCCGTAGATGTAAAACCGAAGTGATGCAAGTGGTGGAGGTGTAATGAATATCTATCCGAGACCCTGCAGTGGCGTGCAGACACGTTGTGAGCGAGGCCTCGGCGCTGTAAGCACAGATGAGAAGCGGCGCTCTGAAGATGGATTGCTGGCAGAATGGAAGTCCCGCTCCTTTGCCCTCACAGGTCTTCCCATCAATATTACTCCGGGGGAAGCAGGAATGGAGGACATGCATTGGCTGACAGAACAAGGACAATGTGATGCAGGGCCATGTGGCTGCCATTGGACGCTCCATCATAAAGCCGGAACATCATGAGGGCGATGACCTAGTTTTATGAGTAAAGGATCGTCTGCGGTCCCTCGTCCTCCACTGCCTGTCCTCCTACCAGCAAAACCCAATAAAAACCCCACAAAACCACCATCCCACCGGGGTCATACGTGACACGTGGAAGCAGCAGGAAGGGAGCGCTGAGCTGTATACACAGATATATATATGAAGGGCGACCTCCCTGGCTCAGCGGGTAAAGAGCCCCGACTGGCTTTGTATCTAATAATATGAGAAGACTCTGGGACAAGTTTTACTTTTCTCCGCGTGTTTGTAGCCCCCCGCTGATATTTGTGTTCCACATGAAAAACACCGTGGAGCCGGTTTATAACAAATATCAGCAACATAATGACTTGTTTTGCTTCGGTTCGTCCTTTTCTGCTGCTTAATTTCTCTTCATTTTACAAAAGTTCCAAATGTACCGAGATGAGAAAATGGTGGAAAATCTTTTAAAATGTTGCAAAAACTGCCGTATAGATTCATGTCGGTTTATTTCATCTTTCTTGACGTATCGTGAAAGTGTGACAGCGGCCGGAGCAACTTCTATCCAATGAAAATTCAGAATCGGTATTCCACCCAAAAATGGCCAAATGACCTCTCTGCATGAAAGTGGTTGAAATTGAATGAAAAATGAACAAAGCTAATCCTTCTGTGGTGTATACTTGCCTCAATCCATAGCACCGAGTGTGACCTCTGTCTGCCCTCTGCTACCTGCAAGAGTCCCTTCTGACAGGTTGAGCCAACACCTCAGAATCCCAGGATATCCCTCCCCACCCCCACCACATGGGAGGTGACTGTGTTGCTATGGCTATTTTAGTGATTTTGTTTTTTCAATTGCTGCATTTTGGATGCCATTTGGAAGCTGGGCTTATCCTGTTCATGTGCTAATGAACTTGTTTGACTGGTTCATGCAACAGAAAGTGATGGTGGCAGATAGAAGAGGGAGGATACAAAGGACTTGAAAGGAGCAATCTGGTAGAGATCCTGGATAAAAGGAATCACTTGTCTCTGCCCCTACCCACCTCTGAGCCCCGTCTCTTGTCTCTGCCCCTACCCACCTCTGAGCAACGTCCCTTGTCTCCGCCCCTACCCACCTCTGAGCAACGTCCCTTGTCTCCACCCCTACCCACCTCTGAGCACCGTCCCTTATCTCTGCCCCTACCCACCTCTGAGCCCCGTCCCTTATCTATGCCCCTACCCACCTCTGAGCAACGTCCCTTGTCTCTGCCCCTACCCGCCTCTGAGCACCGTCCCTTGTCTCTGCCCCCTACCCACCTCTGAGCACCGTCCCTTATCTCCGCCCCTACCCACCTCTGAGCAACGTCCCTTGTCTCTGCCCCTACCCGCCTCTGAGCACCGTCCCTTGTCTCTGCCCCCTACCCACCTCTGAGCACCGTCCCTTATCTCTGCCCCTACCCACCTCTGAGCAACGTCTCTTGTCTCTGCCCCTACCCACCTCTGAGCAACGTCCCTCTGTCTCTGCCCCTACCCACCTCTGAGCAACGTCCCTTGTCTCTGCCCCTACCCACCTCTGAGCACCGTCCCTTATCTATGTCCCTACCCACCTCTGAGCAACGTCCCTTGTCTCTGCCCCTACCCCACCTCTGAGCCCCGTCTCTTGTCTCTGCCCCTACCCACCTCTGAGCAACGTCCCTTGTCTCCGCCCCTACCCACCTCTGAGCAACGTCCCTTGTCTCTGCCCCTACCCACCTCTGAGCACCGTCCCTTATCTATGCCCCTACCCACCTCTGAGCAACGTCCCTTGTCTCTGCCCCATACCCATCTCCTCAGTACCACCATTTTTAGAGAATACAGAACCAAGTATCATTTTGCGGTGCTAAATAATTTGAATGGAATTTGTTATCGATAACAGGAAAAACAATAAAATAAACCTCTTACAGCCAGAAACAATAGACTTGGCAACAACAAAATATTACCCCCCCAGCAGCAATAGATCCATCCTAGCAACAATAAACCCCACCAACAACCAACGGCGACATTTCACAGAGAATTGATGCTGTCCCTCCCTCTCAGAAACCCCAGAAATTGGGGTTCCAGTTCTTCGCTCCATCCATCCATCCATGTGTCCATCCAAGATCCAACCATTCATCTATGTCTCCATGCTTTATTTTGATGAGCAATCACAGCATTTCTGGCCGCGGCCATCTTAAGTGAGGGCAAATGAATTCCTGAAATCTGTAATCCATCTGCTGAGAAAGCCCCTCCTCCCCTCCTGAAGACTCCTGGGATGTATGACATCATTTACCTAGGCATGGAAACCAGGAAGTAACTGAAGAAATCTACAGGCCAGCACCTGTGCGCAGAATCACATATATGTACATGATTTTGCATTTCTGGGTAGGGGCGCGCACCCTACTCATGCCGCCATTCGTGGCTGAGGCTGTCAATCACTGGGTCCCGGCTGGTAATTACCCGCCGGAGCCGGTGATTACCGAGCATCTCTGACAAGGAGGAAGATTGTTTTGTTTACTAACAGTCCTCCTCCCTGTCAGTCGGGCACATTGCACAGCACAGCCATCCACAGCAGTGTGAGTACAGTAAATCACACAGACCCCGCCCCCTAGTAAAAAAAACTCCCAGCACACAGTTAACCCTTTGATCGCCCCTCATATTAACCCCTTCCTGCCCAGTGCCATTAGTACGGTGTCGGTGCTTTATATTAGCACAGATCACTGTATTGGTGTCACTGGGAATGTCAGTGACACCAAGTTAGTTTCCCCCCCCCCCCCCAGGTGTCAGAATGCTACCACAGTCCCACTACAAAGTCGCTGATCGTCGCCATTACTAGTAAAAATAAAATCCCACCATTTATAGACGCTATAATGTTCACGTAAACCAATTAATTTACACGTATCAGGATTTTTTTTTAGCAAAGACACGGAGCAGGAGACATTTTGGACGAAATTATAATTTTTTAATTTTTTACTGGACATGTTTAACCACCTTCTGCCCGCCCTATAGTAATAAGACGGGCGGGGGGGGTGGTTCTCTCGTTCTGATAGGACGTCATATGACGTCCTACTACTACCATTCTCACTGCGCATGCGCGGCTCAGGGAGCGCGCAGCGCGGTGATCGCCAATGCGCTGTGTCCCTCGGACACAGCGGATCACGGAAAGAGCTGAAGATGCCGGCTCGGTCATGTGATCAGCTGTGTCCAATCACAGCTGATCGCATGTAAACACGGAAATGCCAGTTATCGGCATTTCTCTCCTCTCGAGCCGTCACGCTGACAGAGGGAGGAGAGCCGGTAATCGGCATTCCGCGGAGGGGACATATACACTGATCATCAGGGTACTGAAGTGCCACCTGTCAGTGCTCATCAGTGCCACGTGCCCATCAGTGCCACATCCAGTGCCCATCATGCCAATGCCACATATCAGTGCATACCAGTGCACATCAATGCCACATATCAGTGCCCATCTGAGCTGCCTTTCAATGTCACCCATCAGTGCCAGGCAGTGCCACCTATCAATGCAAATCAGTGCCACCTATCAGTGCTGCCAATCAGTGCCACCTATCAATGCCAATCAGTGCCACCTATCAGTGCTGCCAATCAGTGCACCTATCAATGCCAATCAGTGCCACCTATCAGTGCTGCTAATCAGTGCCACCCTATCGTGCCAGTCATGTGTCGCCTATCAATGCGCATCAGTGCCAGTCAGTGCTGCCAGTCAGTGCCAGTCAGTGCTGCCAGTCAGTGCCACCTATCAGTGTCATGTATCAGTGCTGCCTTTCAGTGCCCATCAGTGATGCCTGTCAATGTCCATCAGTGCAACCTACCAGTGCCTCCTCATCAGTGCCCATCAGTGCCACCTATCAGTGTCCATCAGTGCAGCCTATCAGTGCCCATCACTTATTTACAAAATTGTATAACAAAAACTAAGAAAAAACTTTTTTTTTTCAAAATTTTCAGTGGTTTTTTGTTTGTTTAAGAAAAAATAAAAATCCTCGAGTTGATTAAATACCACCAAAAGAAAGCTCTATCTGTCTCACAAAAATGCTAAAAATTTCATATGGGTACAGTGTTGCATGACCGCGCAATTGTCATTCAAAGTGTGACAGTGCTGAAAGCTGCAAATTGGCCTGGGCAGGAAGGGGGTAGAAGTGCCCGGTGGGCAGGAAGGGGGTAGAAGTGCCCAGTAGGCAGGAAGGGGGTAGAAGTGCCCTGTAGGCAGGAAGGGGGTAGAAGTGTCCCAGTAGGCAGGAAGGGGGTAGAAGAGCCCGGTAGGCAGGAAGGGGGTAGAAGTGCCCGGTAGGCAGGAAGGGGGTAGAAGTGCCCTGTAGGCAGGAAGGGGGTAGAAGTGTCCTGTAGGCAGGAAGGGGGTAGGAGTGCCCGGTAGGCAGGAAGGGGGTAGAAGTGCCCTGTAGGCAGGAAGGGGGTAGGAGTGCCCGGTAGGCAGGAAGGGGGTAGAAGTGCCCTGTAGGCAGGATGGGGGTAGAAGTGTCCTGTAGGCAGGAAGGGGGTAGAAGTGCCCTGTAGGCAGGAAGGGGGTAGAAGTGCCCCGGTAGGCAGGAAGGGGGTAGAAGTGCCCTGTAGGCAGGAAGGGGGTAGAAGTGCCCGGTAGGCAGGAAGGGGGTAGAAGTGCCCTGTAGGCAGGAAGAGGGTAGAAGTGTCCGGTAGGTAGGAAGGGGTGAAGTCCCGTAGGCAGGAAGGGGGTAGAAGTGCCCTGTAGGCAGGAAGGGGGTAGAAGTGCCCTGTAGGCAGGAAGGGGGTAGAAGTGCCCTGTAGGCAGGAAGGGGGTAGAGAAGTGCCCGGTAGGCAGGAAGGGGGTAGAAGTGCCCTGTAGGCAGGAAGGGGGTAGAAGTGTCCCTGTAGGCAGGAAGGGGGTAGAAGTGTCCTGTAGGCAGGAAGGGTGTAGAAGTGCCCGTAGGCAGGAAGGGGGTAGAAGTGTCCTGTAGGCAGGAAGGGGTAGAAGTGTCCGATAGGAGAGGGGGTAGAAGTGCCCTGTAGGCAGGAAGGGGGTAGAAGTGCCCGGTAGGCAGGAAGGGGGTAGAAGTGCCCGTAGGCAGGAAGGGGGTAGAAGTGCCCTGTAGGCAGGAAGGGGTAGAAGTGCCCTGTAGGCAGGAAGGGGGTAGTAGTGTCCGGTAGGCAGGAAAGGGGGTAGAAGTGCCCTGTAGGCAGGAAGGGGGTAGAAGTGCCCTGTAGGCAGGAAGGGGGTAGAAGTGCCCTGTAGGCAGGAAGGGGTAAGAAGTGCCCTGTAGGCAGGAGGGGGTAGAAGTGTCCGGTAGGCAGGAAGGGGTAGAAGTGCCCTGTAGGCAGGAAGGGGGTAGAAGTGTCCGTAGGCAGGAAGGGGGTAGAAGTGTCCTGTAGGCAGGAAGGGGGTAGAAGTGTCCGGTAGGCAGGAAGGGGGTAGAAGTGTCCTGTAGGCAGGAAGGGGGTAGAAGTGTCCCTGTAGGCAGGAAGGGGGTAGAAGTGTCCCTGTAGGCAGGAAGGGGGTAGAAGTGCCCTGTAGGCAGGAAGAAGGGTAGAAGTGTCCGGTAGGCAGGAAGGGGGTAGAAAGTGCCCAGTAGGCAGGAAGGGGGTAGAAGTGCCCTGTAGGCAGGAAGGGGGTAGAAGTGCCCTGTAGGCAGGAAGGGGGTAGAAGTGCCCTGTAGGCGAGGGGTTAATAGCAAAAAGTAAAAAATTGTGTTTTTTTTCTCAAAATTTTGGCTTATAGCGCAAAAAATAAAAATGCACAGGCGATCAAATGCCACAGAAAGAAAGCTCAATTCGTGGGGAAAAAAGGTTGTAAATTTCATCTGGGTGTGGCATTGCATGACTGCGCAATTGTCAATTAAAGTAACGCAGCACTTTAACGCAAAAATGGCCTGGTCAGGAAGGGGGGGGGGGGAATCCTCTGGAGGGGGGAGGGGTTAAAACAAACAAATATGATACGCTTTCCTATCTATTTACTAATACTGGCAGCACAAGGGTTAAACATTGTCCATGTTGATTGAGAGAGTGAAGTTCTGCTTCAAAGTGCATGTATATTTTTAAAAATTGCGCAAATACCGCGTGACGTAAAAAAATGCCAATACCCACCATTTTATTCTGTAAGGCCTCTGCAAAAAAAAAATTAAATTAAAAAAAAAAAAGATATATATAAATGTTTGGGGGTTCTAAGTAATTTTCTAGCAAAAAAAGTAGATTTTTACATGCGGGAGAGAAGTGTCAGAATTGGCCTGGACAGGAAGTGGGTAATATCCCGAAAGTGGGCGGTGCATAAAATACGTACATAGAAAAAGAATTACAAAACATACCAAAAAGACAAAAAGCACATACAGAGCTTGGGGATGAAAATAAAAGGGATGAAATAAAAATGTTTACTGATATGTATCCTGTGACTGGAGCGAATCAGAGACGTCCATAATTCACCAGTGAGACCGCCTCCATGTGAATCGCCCCCCCCGCCGCCCATATCTCAGAGTCCTCAATTCGTTGAAATATGGATGTGGGCGGAACTTTAGCCCTCAGCCAATCAAACTTGGGGGAGGGGTTTCCTTCCCATCCCATAGACGGGTCAAAAATCAGCTGATTTTCGCACCGTCAGGGGATAAATTGGTCAGCCCATTTTTCGGGGTTTTGGCACATTTTTTTTTACCGGTAAAGTGGGAAAAAAATCATCCAATTTTGCCGATCGGTTGATTTTCCCAGCAATGATGGAGTATCTATTTGTATCTGAATAAAACCATCTGTATCCGAAATGGATACAAATGGATACCAATGGATACAATTGGATACATTGTTGCAACCGCAAGACTTTTTTTATGTCAAATATAATAGCGGAGCTCTCTGCAGGGACAGAAGTAATTAAATGCCGGCCGTAGACGGGACGAAAATTGGCCAATTTTTTTTACCATTGGTGATAACGTCAGCCGATCGAATGACTGATTTTTCTGGGTTTTTTTATTAAAAAACGGCTGGTTTTCGACCCGTCTATGGCCTGCATTAGATGGGCCATGAATGGTTCCGATGGCTGGCATAGCAGAGGATTTTCCGAGTCCGATCTCAACAAGGCCAATCATCACTTGGCAGCTGCGACCAGCCGCCATATAACTGCTTGGTGGATATCTCTTGGATTCTACATACGTTACCCAAACCGTTTTACCTGAAAACGTGGCCCAAAATCTGTCCAATCAGAAAGGATTATTTTCCATATCTCCCAACTTTTTGAGATGGGGACGAGGAACACCTATTAGCAAATATTTGTAGGCATAGGACACGCCCCCTGCCACACCCCCTTAAAGGAGAATTATAAAAAAAAAAAAGATCAGCTAAACCCACAATGCTTTTTTTTATCACTACTATTCTTTTATATTGGCTTTTGAAGTTTACAAACGCAACAATTTGGAAATTGGATGAAAGGTCTAGCACTGGGAAACACTTTTTGAAAGATAAATAGTGCATTTTATATATAGCTATATGTAATAAATAATATATATAAATTATATATACAACTATATAGATCAGACCAAAATGAGGGACACATGAGAAGGAAAGAGGGACAGAGGGACTTGGTTCCAAATCAGAGACAGTTGGGAGGTATATTTTTTTCATCTGTGACTAAGATTTTTGTTTTTATGAGAGATAAAATAAATTCCTCAGATCTTTGACATAAATCAGTGGAAGGAAAATATTTGGGAGACTCCATCCTTGTCCCCCTACCCCCCCCCCCCCCCCCCCCCCAAATGTCAGGACAGGACTAATCCCCCCAAATGTCAGGACAGGACAAATCCCCCCCAAATGTCAGGACAGGACAAATCCCCCCAAATGTCAGGACAGTACAAATCCCCCCCAAATGTCAGGACAGTACAGATATCCCCCCCAAATGTCAGCATGGTACAAATCCCCCCCAAATGTCAGGACGGTACAAATCTCCCCAAATGTCAGGACTGTACAAATCCCCCCAAATGCCAGGACGGTACATATCCCCCCAAATGTCATGAAAAATCCCCCCAAATGTCAGGAACCCTCCCAATGTCAGGACAGTACAAATACCCCCAAATGTCAGGACAGTACAAATCCCCACCAAATGTCAGGAAGCTACAAATCCCCCCAAATGTAAGGACAGTACAAATACCCCCAAATGTCAGGACAGTACAAAAAATCCCCCCCAAATGTCAGGACAGTACAAATCCCCCCCAAATGTCAGGACAGTACAAATATCCCCCAAATGTCAGGACAGTACAAATCCCCCCCAAATGTCAGGACAGTACAGATATCCCCCCCAAATGTCAGCACGGTACATATCCCCCCAAATGTCATGAAAAATCCCCCCAAATGTCAGGACAGTACAAATCCCCCCCCCAAATGTCAGGACAGTACAAATCCCCTTAAATGCCAGGACAGTACAAATCCCCCTCAAATGTCAGGATGGTACATATCCCCCCAAATATCATGATAAATCCCCCCAAATGTCAGGACAGTACAAATACCCCCAAATGTCAGGATGGTACAAATCCCCCAAATGTCAGGATGGTACAAATCCCCCCCAAATGTACAAATACCCCCAAATGTCAGGATGGGACAAATCCCCCAAAAAGTCAGGACAGTACAAATCCCCCCAAATGTCAGGACA